CTACACCACTCAAGCCATGCTGTGGCAGCGACCCACATATAAAGTAGAGGAAGATTGGCACAGATGTTACCTCAGGGCTAATCTTCCTCAATTAAAAGAAAAAAGAGGAAGATTGGCAGCAGATGTTAGCTCAGGACGAATCTTCCTCAGCCAAAACAAAATGTGGTATATATATATATATACACACAATGGAATACTAGCACCCATAAAAAAATAAAATCAGCCATTAAAAAAATCTGAAATCTTGCCATTTGCAACAACATGGATGTACCTTGAGGTTATGCTAAGCAAAATGTCAGAAGGAGAAAGCCAAGTATTGTGTGATTTCACTCATGTGGAAGATAAAACAACAACAAATACGTAGATAGAATGGATTGGTGGTTCCAGAGCAGAAGGGGGATGGAGGGAGGGTGAAAGGTGTAAAGGGGCACATCTGTATGGTGACAACTAGCAGCTGGACTTTTGATGATGAACACAATGTAGTCTATACAGCAGTCGAAATATAATGTACACCTGAAATTTACATAGCATTATAAACTAAGTTTACCTCAATGAAAAAAGAATTCATTAATATGGATGCTTCATAAAGATTTAACCATCCCCCAACTGATTGGCTTTTTAAGATTGGTTTTAATCTCTCAACATGAAAAATAGTTCTCTGTGAACTTCCTAGTGTGTTTGTGTCTTTGTACAACTAATTCTGTAAAGACCATCCACAGAAATGGAATTGCACTGCCAATTGCTTGCAGTACTTAGAATCAGAAGCATAACTTGAGGCAAATGGGTAACTCCTGAGCCTTGGTCTCCTACCTGGGAAAGAGGGAAGTATCTGGGCCTTGGGGCACTGGAGGGTTTGATGGGATGATATAGGTAAAGTTCAAGGACAGGATTAGGACAGTGGACAGGAAATGGAAACTCATATCACAACAAGCAGAAACCGCTCTCATGTGTGTTTACCAAATGTTCTACAAAAAGCATATATGTTTTGCATGATCAGAAAAATTGCAAAACCAACCAAGGACTGTTATTTTGAAAGGAAACACACTCAGCAGTGCTGGGTAGAGCCAAATGCCAGGTTCCAGCCCGCTCAGTGGGATTAGGGTGTGGCTTTTGGCTGGGGTCTCTCACACTCAGCCAAGCCCCACATAAACAGGGGTCTCGCCTACTTACCTCACAGGTAAGAATGTTTTCACATTCTCCTGACAAAGGAAGTAATTGAGTCCCTAGTGATCATACTGAAAGAATTCAATGCCTACAGCTCCACTCTCAGCAGACACTTATTGTTCATGAAATCTTTAAACAGATATAAAGACGAATACAAAAAATCCCAGAAAATCACCAAGAAGCAAGAAGGAGAAGATGACTTCAAGTTCTGAGCTGCCTTGACTTCGAACACCTTCCCTAATCCGTGCAGAGCTAGAATCTACGTCAGAACATCAAGGAGTCAGAAGCTGAAAGTCTTTCTAAAGGAGACCATCTCTTTCTCTGTTTAAAAGAAATTGAGGGCTCAGAATTCAGGGCTCAAGGCTTGGATGGAATTATAATGGAAAGGCTCATTTATATAACAATTTGAGTTCCATTCATCCAACCCACCACTGCCACAGAACCCTCCTAAAAAATAGCTCTGACCTACCCACTCTTCTGCTCAAAAGTCCCTCCCAACTCTGCAGCTCCTACCAAATCCAACCCACAGTCCCTACTTGACCACAGAGGCCCCCACACTCTGGTTCCCACCCCGACTCTCTCTGCTTCAGCAAACTCCTCACTCTTCCTACATATGCCCCCCGCCCACCTGCCCTTCTTCATTCTCCTCCTCTGTGGGGATCCTTCTGTCTCCACATGGCCAAACCCAGCCAATCTTCCAGTCCGATACCAGTAGTAAGTATCCCATCCACTCAGCCTGACCCCTCATCTCACCTTCCTCACTCACTGTCACCCCTCCTCTCTCTGGACATTGTTTGCTATCAAATACAGGAGTTCAGAGAATCCAACTGGAATGTGTTTCATGAAGCACACATATTACTTACTAATTTTGATTCCATTTCGATTGCCCTTAGTACAGTGTCTTGTACATAATTCAGACACAATGAGCACTCCCTGGGTAAATGCATGAATACTAGGAATGTCCTGGTCTGACTCTCCCAGAGTTTGGATCTTTTCCCACACACTCAGCCAGAGTTCTGCATGGTCAGAGCTGAAAACACTTGTGGTTGACACTGAACCTGACTGAGGGTTTCCCATATATATGAGATAGTCAGCTCCTCAGAGAATCCCTCCCCTTGGCAGGGATCCCTGTTCCAATTGCTAATTAATGCTGCTTATGCCAACTTCCTGGAGCAAGTGACCATTACATCCAGACTAGTTTCAGAAATATACAGTGAGTATACAACTCTTTTATTCTCCTTCTTTGGTCCTGGGTTTTATGAACAAGGTGAAATATTGTAACAGAAGATTGGACTAATTTTAGCTTGAAAAATAAAAAGTGTAGGTAACTGAGGGCAGGGGTGAAAAGCACAATACAAAGTAGGAAATGTCCAGGAATGATGAGGAGTCAGTGACACTTCTGTCCTGACCTAGGGTGACCTGTCCTGACCCGAGGTATAAGGACCAAGCAGGTGCTGGCTTGGTCCTTATACCTCAGAAATAGTGTTTTCCTGCCCAGATGGTCTCTCCGCTCTACTTCCTGGTATCTATAATTTGGCAGGTGCTTATATTTTAAAATGTATGGATATAAATATATAGGCATGGATATATCATGTTTGGAGTTTTGTTCTGATTAAGAGGCACACTTGTGACAGAAAATTAGAACATAGAAAAAATTCAATGGAGAAAACAAAATACCCCATAATCTCACCTCTGGGAATTGACCTCCTTTCACTCCCAAGTTTCTGGGTCTTTGAGTTTCAGTTTGGATCAATCATGAACATTTGTGTTTGGCTTTTGGGTGACATTTTCATTGCCCTGCTGACTCTACAATGTAGCTGGAAAGACTAATCAGCTAGAGGTCACCTAGTTAGCCTACCTTCTGTGTTTAGAGATGGGCAGGAAGCCCAAGATAGGAAGTGGAAGGGGTGAAGCCAAGCCTTTGGTTTGTTTTTCCTTCACCCCAAAATCATATCTTTCCACTTACTCTTCAACTTCAAAATGTTTCTTGACTCAAACCTAATCATTCTCCTCCTTCCACATGCCATCGTCCAGCTTCTCCATATGGACCATCTTCTCCATGGTCCATAGAGAAAGCAACAAAGACCACCCCAAGAGCTAATATTTATTAAAGAGGATTATTAATATTAATAATCAATAACTATGAGAAAAGTACCATAATTAGCCCATTTTACTGATGAAGCCTTGAGCTCGGAGAGTTAGTAACTTAGCCAAGATCTCTGAAATAGGAAGTGCTGAGATCCAGGATATGAGTCTACACTATGTAATTCCAGAGTCTTGAAGCAAACACTATGCTATCTGGCCATGAGACTAACCAAAAAAGAAAGTTCTGGATCCAACTGATTGGATTTGTGTGTTAAACCATAGCATACACACTTAAAAGTATGGAAATCGTTAAGTGTATAGTTTAATGAATTATCCAAAGGAGACACACCTGCTAACCAGTACCTATAAGAAATAGAACATTACCAACTCTCCAGGAGACCCTCATGTGCCCATCCCAAGTCACTGCCCTCTCTTCCCCAAGGGTAGCAAATATTATTATTTCTTTATTAGTTTTGCTTGTTTTTGAACTTTATTTAAATGGAATCATATAGAACTTACTCTTTTATGTCAGGCTGCTTTCATTACGTTTGTGAATTTCAAACATATTTATGAATGTGGCTGTAGTTCATTTTTATTTCTGTAGCATATAACCTTATTAAAAAATGTACCCCATTTTATTTATCCTTTTATTGTTGATGCAAGTTTGGGTTGTTTCAAGTTTAGAGGATTACCAAATAACGCTGCTCCGAACATTCTTTTGCAATCATGCACATGTGTAGGCATTTCTATTGGGTATCTACCTAAGAGAAAAATTTTGGGGTCCTAGAGTATGTGTAAGTCCATTTTAGGAGATCCTAACAGTTTTTGAAAGTGGTTGTAGCAGCTGTCACCCACAGCAGTGTATGAAAGCCCAGTGACTCTATCCACACCAATGCTTGGTATTGTTGGTGGTTTTTATGTTAGTCACTGTGTATTGGTATCACATCGTGGTTTTAATTTGCATTTTCCTGACAAGTAACGATGTTATACACCTTTTCAAATACTTGTTGGTCATTTGGTTATCTTTTTTGTAAAATTCCTAGTCACATATTTTGCCCATTTTTTCTGGTAGATTGTCTTTTTTTCTTAATAATTTGTGGGAGTTAGTTACATATCCTATAAGAAGATTTTTCCAGATAAAATATTGCAAATGTTTATTCCCATTCTGTTCTTGCCTTCCTGCTCTCTTGAAGGTGTCTTTTGATGAAGAGACATTCTTAATTGTAATCAGGTCCAATTTATTGATTTTTGTCTTCATGTTTAGTGTACACTGTGACCTATCTAAGAAATCTTTGCCTGCCCCAAAATCATGAAAATATACTCCTGTGTCATCTACTGCAAATGTCACTGTTTTAAACATCCACATTTGGTTGTAAAATCCACCTGGAACTGACTTTTGTTTATGGTGTGAGGTAGAAGTCAAGATGAATTTCTTTCCTGTATGGATAGCCAGTGCCCCCGAGCCATTGACTGAGAAGACTATCTTCTCCCCAGTGCTCTGCCTGCCTCCTCTGTCACATACAAATATTCATATCTGTGAGTCTCAGAAGGACTCTCTATTCTTTCTACTTCTCCTTGGGGCCATCCTTGCACTATGAGCACACTGCCCTGATGAGTGTAGCTTTATACTAAGACTTCACACCGGCTAGTGGAAGCCCTCCAAGTGTGTTCTCCTTCAAGATTGTCTTGACTATATGCTACCACTTGTATTTCAATGAAAATTCTGAAATTGGATTGTCAGTGTCCACAAGATATCTGCTGAGATACTTTATTGCGATTGTATGAATCTTAGATCAATTAGGAGACAAGTGACATCTTAGCAACACATAGCAAAACAAACAAGAACATTAAAAAAAAAAAACCTGAGCCAAAGCAAAACATCATAATAACAAGGAAGAAATGATAAACTGCGAAGAAATATTTGCAATTCATATCACAAAAGGGTTCATGTCCCCAATATATAAAAAGTTCCTAGAAATTAATAAGGAAAAGAACACACACTGTAGAAAAATTGGCAAAACACATGAACCCAAAGTTTATGGGAAAAGATATATAAATAGCCCTAAATATATGAAAATATGCTCAAGCTCAGTCATACTATGACAAAATTATTGAATTCAAAAATGTGACAAAGCTGAGAGAGAAAATAGAAAAGAGATTCTCTCTTTCCAGGCTCTGCAGGCCCACCAGGTCCAGCACCCTGAGGACCCACCTGACTGCACTGGGGGCACCTATGGGGCTCCAGAAGATGTTGGTGCTCAGAAGTTGCAGGTGGGGATGGCAAAGAACTCACTCATAAGCAGAACAGCTGGTGCAGTGCATATGCTGGTGCAGAGACAAGGCAGGGCTCAGGTGCACTCTTTGTCCTGGGGCCTGCACCTGGCCACTTGTGAGCACTGGGCCCTTGATAGGAGACCTGGACACTCCTGTTCCATGTCCACCAGCATCAACCCATGTTAGGAGGCCAATGCACCTGTGCCCACTGGAACCTGGCACTCCAACAGCCCATCCAGTGTTGATGGAGCCTGACAACGTGTCCTGCTGTGCATGCACTTATGAAGTTCTGCATTCAATGTCTCTTTGTATAGTTGGGAAACTGAAGCCCAGAAAGGGGCAGGGACTGGCCCAGAGAACAGTACATGGGCACAGTCAAGAAGAAAAATGAGGACACTGGCTCAACCCCTCCAATCACATTTAATTTTGAAATGACAGCCCCTAAGATCTCGGTGAACTCTGCCCAGCCCCTCCCAGTTTGGGCCATTTTCCTTCCTGTATCCTCATGAGGCACAGGCATGCACAAACAGAAGCCAACTTCACAGTTGGGGGCCATGGGAGGGTAGTTAAGAAGAGCATAGACCCTGTAAGTGACAAGGGAAAGAGAAGAAAGGGGCTTGAGACAGCTCTGCAATGGAATAGGGCATCCATTCTCCTGCCAACATGTCCAGGGGTCCATAGCATGAGGGTGATCCTTAAATTTTCCACCGTCCTGCCTGGGCAGAGGCCATCTCCACAGTAGTCTCCAGAGGACAAGGTCTAGGGTCCTGCACTCCACCACTCTGGGCCCCTGGAACTGGGCTGAGCACACCCTATCCTCTAGTATAGACAAGGACTACAGGAGAGAAGGTCTGTTTCCTTCTCTACAAATTGGGTGCTTGCAGTGGCTGGTCCCAAGGGTTCTGCATGCTTGTAAAGTCTGTAGACCTTGGTTCTCTACCAATGACCCACTGTGCTCTGAGGACAATGGGTATATGCTTTTCACTGCCTGAATGTCCTTCAGGGCAGAGAGGAGCTCGGGGATTAAAGATTTGGGGTAGGGCAGAATGCGGCAGAGCCAGGGACTGAGAGTCAGGGGTCTGAGAGCAAGATCACTCATAATCGGATCCTGGGAGTCCTCATTTGGAAGTAGGGGGAATCACTGCCCTGGCTGAGGTGAAGACGACTTTTGAGCAAACTAGACACCGCAGAATAGAGAGGCAAAGAGAGGGCAAGAGTGTCTTCTGAGGTCCCTTACACAGCCCTGAAACCCTGCAGGTCCTGCTCCTTTACCCCTGGGACTCTGGAGGGCCTCTGCCTCCAGGTCACCCAACTAAAGCTTCCTGCCAGGGGCTGCCGTTATAGTGCTGGCCATCAGGGAAAGACAGCCTCCTGTGTCAGTGGTGCCCCCTGAGCTTTCCTGGAGCGACTGAAGCAGAAACAGTCACGCAAAGGTCATTCTGGCCATGCCCCTGCCTCGGAAACAACATGCACCTCTTGTTGTTAGTGATCATCTCTATGGAACGACCTGGTCAGAGGAAGGAAGAAGAGCTCCAAGATCTTCCCTTTTACTTCTTCAGAGATGATGCTCTGAGAACTCATCCCATGCCAGGTACCTTGGAGTGTCCAAGTCCAGTGCTGAAAATGGCCAAGTGGTCTCTGTCTTCCAGGAGCTACCAGTCTGGAGGAGAGAAGGACAAAAGCACAGAAGCAAAACATATGAAAGGAAAGAGTAAGTGCTAACTGAAAAATAAAGCAGGGTGATATGAGGGAGGGCTGGGGGTGGGGGGTGTCACTGGGTAGGAGGGTCTGAAAGGCCTCACTGGGGTGACATTTGCTGGGACCAGAATGACAAGAGGGAGCCAGCCCTGCACAAGTCTGGGAGCAGCGTGTCAGGGAGAAGACATCACTGGTGCAGAGACTTGCAGGCAGAAGTGAGTTTGACAAGAGGAGGTTAGAAGCATGGCCAGTGTGGCTGGGGAGAGCCTGGGAGGAGAGAGGAGCAGGAGGAGGGCAGGGCCAGATCTTGGGGCCTGGTAGACTGTTAGTTATCCCTTCCTCTCTGGAAACATTGCTCCAATATGTTGCATCTTAAAACTACAAGAATTTTGGGGCCGTCCCAGTGGCGCAGCGGTTAAGTTCGCACGTTCCGCTTCTCAGCGGCCCAGGGTTCACCAGTTGGGATCCCGGGTGCAGACATGGCACCGCTTGGCAAAAGCCATGTTGTTGTAGGCGTCCCACATATAAAGCAGAGGAAGATGGGCATGGGCGTTAGCTCGGGGCCAGTCTTCCTCAGCAAAAAGAGGAGGATTGGCAGTAGTTAACTCAGGGCTAATCTTCCTCAAAAAACAAACAAACAAACAAACAAACAACTACAAGTATTTAACATCTCAAGTTTGGTGGATGAAGAATCCAGGCACGTATTAGCTCTGTTCCTGTGCTCAAGCTGTCTCACAGGCTGAGGCTGCAGCCTCAACTGAGGCTCAACTGACATAAGATTTGCTCCCAAGTTCACTCAAAGGATTCAGGATGCAGTTTGGGCTCAGAGCACAAGTTCCTTTCTATCTGTCTGCCTGGGCACTGCTTCGGTTCTCTCCTTGGTGGGCCCCTACATAGAGCAGCTCAAAATATCTGTGCTTGATTCCCCAGTTCAGGGATATGACAGAGAGAGAGACAGAGATACAGAGAGAGACAGAGAGAAAAGTGGAACACAAGAGAGGGAGTAAGAAGGAAGTGAGAGACTTCTTGTGTTTAAAACAGAAATGGCATCCCTTCACATTGGCTGTATTCTATTAGTCAGAAGCGAGTAACTAATGACTCAGTGGTTACACAGCGATGTGGAAAGGATGGGTATACCAAGGGTGGGACCAGTGGCTGCCACTGTAGAGGTTTCCCACCTCAAAGACTAAGATGAGGCACTTGGGTCTCATTCTAAATGTAACAGGAAACAATTGAAAGGTTTTAATCCAGAGGATGACAGTGTCTGGAATTCGTTCATTAAGTCCCTCATGGTTCTGACATTAAAATGAGGCCAAGGTAGAAGTGAGTGTTCCAATATCACATTGCCAGAACCCAGGCCTGTTTTGAGTGGTGTCCCAAGCTGTGTCCCACCCCTTCTCACTATTCTTCCATCTCTAAGTTTATGCCTTAGATATACATGACACTAGCCCTCAGGTGTGATAGATATTATCTCCTATATGCCCGACGATGTCCCTAGGAAGCAGATTCTAGCCTGATCCCCACTGTACATGTTAGGAGACTGGGAAGGACTTGAGAGGCACAATGAGGTTTCCAGGACAGAGAACTGGTCAGAAAAAGGAGGTCTGAATTCAGCTCTGTCTCCTCAAAGCTAGGACCCTAATTACATTTCCAGGGAGCTGTGGCTAGCGCTGTGCTGGCTCACTGTGTACAGTTAAGGAGATGATATAGGGGAGAAGGGTGAGTAGTAACAGCCCAGCAGGGGCTTTGGGTAGTCTGTTTGAAGGAATGGGTCAGGTAATGGAATCTTGAGAGAGTGACCTCACTTTCTTGGTGATAGCCCCAACAGAACTTAGAACTCTGGTCACCAGGAACCCACAGCCCCCTATCCAACTCACTTGACCAGACACACTCAGGAGAACAAGATGTTCTGCTGTTGTGTCCTGAATTGCAGAGGCACTGGGCTGGCGAAAGCCCAGAGTGAAAGGCTCTTCTGTTGCTGTAGACATTGGCTCAGCCCTCATCCCTGATACCACTGGCCATTTGGCAGGAGGTACCCAAAGGTAACACAGGGCAGACCAGGGCAAGCCAATGTGGGACAGGCCACATTATGATCCCAGTGGAGCAGCCCCACACCCCGTGCCCCTCATCATGTGTGTGTGTGTGTGTGTGTTTGTGTGTGTGTGAGTGGAGGAGGGAAAGCAAGGGATGAATGGCATGCTCTTCTTGGGCAGGAGCAGGTTGTTAGGTATTGGAGGCCTGGTGGACCTGTTGTGTTCATCCCCCAGGTCATGGCTGACAGCATAAGGTGAGCTCCTCTACTCATATGTGACCCAAGTCCAAGAGGTTTCATACTATTCCCTCCCTGACTAGAGTTCTTTGCAGATGCCACTCTGTGCCTGAACTAGGAAACAGAAATTCTCATGGGGTTGCCCCACCGTGACAATATCCAGGCAGGCCTCGATGCCTCCTAGCCTCTCTATTGAGCAGTATTTTTGCAAAATTCCACTCAGACATCATCAAGGAGTTGACCAATGGGTCCAACTGCTCTAACTCCCTAGACAACGGGCAGGTGCACCAGGCCGCCAACACCATCCACTGGTCTGAGGTGAAAATGGGTGGAGAGGGATCTCCATACCCAAGACCCTGAGATGATCAGGGTGGCCCAGAACTCTGACTCAAAGCTAGGGACTCCCCTGGGGCCCTCCCAGGCCTTTCCAACATGAGTGTCCCACAGGCCAGATCCCAAAGGAATCTGGACCTCCACATGTAACTCACCCACTACGTGGTAGAGTAGAAATATACTCCTCACTTTCTTGTTGGAATGGTAGAGAAAATATTTAATGTTGCTTTCACTTTTCACAAGGCCGCTTTTTATGAGCATCAGCACTTTGCCACTGTTTTGATTTTTTTAATGACTCACTCCAGGTATCCTGTGGAACAATCAGCTCCACTGTCCTTGCAGAGCTTCTCCAAGCCTTACAAATCATCACACTTCAGAGGGTGACTTCTACACAAAGGAGGGGCGTGGGATTACTTGATTCTATACATTTCTCTGCAACTTGTCACCTCACAGAACACATCTAATCATTGTAGGTCTGTCAGATCAGGAGCTGTGGCTTTATGTGACTTCACAATATCTCATAAAGGAAGTCATTTGCCACAGCAATTCAACCTTTCAATGTTGTTGGACCTTGACATGATTCAATTCTGTTGCCATTTCAGCAGTGCTGCAGGGAACATCTGAAGTGTGTCCTCATAGTCTGTTAGTTTACTAGGTCTGCCATAACATAGAACCACCAATTGGGTGGAAAGTCCCTGATGCTTACTGGCCCAGCACCAGGCTCTGCCTTAGTAGAGCTCCACCCAGGACATCGTCGAGGAGCTGATTGACGGCTTCAACTACTCCACCTCCCTAGACAAGGGGCAGATGCATCTGGCAACCAACAACAGCCAACCGTGGTCTTGGGTAAGTAGGGGCACACGGGGTCTCCACATCCAGGACCCCCAGGTGACTGGGGTGGACCCAGAACCCAGACTGGAATCTGGTGACTCCCCTGGGATCCTCCCAGGAATGCAGTTTCCCCAGAGCCTTCCCCTCCGTGTCAGGAGCAGACCAAGCCTCCAGTTGAGAGGGAATGTCATGTAGCCCATGCTATGGACAGTCCTAGGTTCTGACCTGCGTGATCTGGAGCAGCCACTTAAAATCTCTAACCCTCTGTTTTCCAATATCTACAGTGGGGAAGTTTGTTGATGATTCACTGGGATAAGGCACTTAACACAGGCTATTAATACTGGGACGTGCTATTGTTTCTCAGCTCAAAAAATGCCTGGAAGGTACCAGTTGTTTATCATTCTCCCCAAAATCAAATGATGCTGTTAAAGCCTAGAACCTTTTTCTGTGTGGGCTCTCATGTCCCTCCTCTTGCCCAAGTTCCTGAGGTGATGAGAGCTTCTGGTCTGAACTCCAAACCCTGATCTTCCTGGTGGCTCATGGTGATGCCACTGACTACATGTCCCTCCTTGTCCACTCGGTGTGAAAAGGAGTCAACTCTGGCACAGGATGAGACCTGCACAACGCTGACCCCCAAGACAGGCATAACAGAGAAGCTAGCAGAGGCCCTGGTACCAGCCTTCCTGGATGGAGACATCTCCTACATCACCACCTTCTCATCCACGTACCATCGCCACCTTCACCACCACCCAACAGGTCCTGGACCAGGTGTTCCACAGGTGAGTGCCAGCCCCTCCATAGCACAGTGGTGAGTCTCTCACCTACTAACTGTGTGTCTGTGAAATGTCAACACACCTCTCTGAGCTTCACTTATCTCTTCTGAAAAGTGGAGTGGTAGGAAGATGAACTTCTTAGGGTTATTGTAGGAAATCATGGGATCAGCCACGGCAGGTGCTTACTTGCTGCCTGGCTCTGCAGAAGGGGCTGCAGGATGTGCTGTGGTTGCTCACGGTTATTATTTCTCTGTCCCCTGTGAAAAGCAGTCGGCCTCTACCATCACTGGGATGTGGCCTTTCTGAGTCTGGAAAACATATGGAAAAGCACCCTGTCAAGGAGTTTGAGATTCCATCCAGCTGGTCTTGGTCCTTGTCCTTGGGGTAGCCAATTAGGGATCACTAGGGAAGCAGAGGGGCCCAGGCCCACTCAGACATCTAGGGTGGTTCTGGTTGGACTTCATTCACTCAACAATACATTAAGTACCTACTATATGCAGGACTCTTGGAGACACTTAGCATAATGCCATGAATGAAGCAGACGCGATCCCTGGGCCTCAATTCTGGTCTGTCAGACAGTCACACTCAACACCATTCGCAGGTCCTGTCCACCATACATCCCACGTGATGCCCTTGTAGCCTCTTCAACATCTGGAAGCATCTTCCCATATTCTGACCAGGATGACAGACCATGGACCACCTGAAAAAGTGAGCGGTGTTTGGGTCCAGAAGGAAGACCTTCTGTTTCTACAGAACAAGGTAGGGGAGTGTACGGGGGCTATGGCTGGGGTGGACCTAGCAGAAACCTGCTCGCATCTTTTGATTCCCATGAGAGGTTTGAGGTCTGATGGCTTCCATTCCAGGAGGACAGGAGTCAAAGAGAATTGTGGATGGGTTCCCAGTCCATCAGGAACCAGAGAGGAGGTTGGGCTGGGTTGTCTCCTAGAGACCCATCCCCACTACAGTCGCATCTCGATCTTCCTCCCCTTCTCCACATCCACCTCTTTGACCACCACCAGGTCCAGAACAGAAGGTGTGTGAGCAACCTGCTCACAAATCTGCCTGAGTCCGCAGTCCAGTTGCCCAAGTGCATGGAGGGCTGAGGTGGGCCTTCTCCAGGCCCTTCGGGAGAAGAGTGTCAGTGGGAGAAGAGACTCACACAGACTCTGTGTTCAACCTGCTGGATGAACAGGCCTGCCACTGCCAGGACAGCCACACAGGGGTCGGGGCTGAGATGGGGCTCTCTCCTAGATGGGAAGGGGCAGGCATAGGGGCCCAGACCCAAACAAGCGTGCCTTGGGAGGACCGTGTGGAAGGAAAGGCCAGGCCTCTGACTCGGCAGCCCAACTGCCTTCCCCCAGTGCTATCCTTTCTATGGTGGGAACCTGGCTGAACCAAGTGCAGGATTTCTGGGAGCCCCTGCACTTTCCCTATTTCAAGCTGAAGCTGGCCTATGTGTGTGTCAATTTGCCTGGCTTGGACCTGGAGAGCCATGCTGACCTTCTCTGGGTTCAGCTAGGGCATCTGGAGCCTACTGAGGCAGAGCTGGAAGGAGAGAGGACTGCAGTCTGGGAAGACTATCTGTGCTGGGGTGCAGGAGCTGCAGTTCCCTTAAAGGCAGTGGAGTCTTTCTCTTTGGAAAGGCACAAGGAAAGTCAGGTATGTGGGTGAAACTTCTCTTTATCCCACTCCAGTGCCAGCTCCAGAGCTCCCGCCAGCTCCAGAGCCAGAGGAAGGCCCAGCTCCTGGGTTAAAGCCAGCTCCAGCTCTAGTTTCCCCACCTGTACTAGAGCTGGAGCGAGCATGGCCTCCATCAGCCCCTCCTGGGCTAGAGCAAGCACCACCATTAAATTCAGCCCCAGTGCCAGCTCCTGAGCTGGAGCCAGATGGACGATGGACTCTCCTGTGACTTACACCTCCAGCTGCAGAAATAATAAGAGAGCCAGATCCAGCCCTGGAGCCCACCTGCTTCTGGGCTGTGACCACCAAGAAACTGCTGAGGGAGGAAAAGCCTAACCTCTTGAAGTTCCCTCCCCAGCTGGTGGCAGAGCAGCTGACGAGGATGGATGTGGTGCACAGTGGGGCTCTCAGGGCAGGTGGGGCCTGCCTTCCCTGTGCCGTCAGCTGCCCCAGACCTGCCATTCCCTGATCCAGAATACAATGATTTGGGTCCAAATCCCAGCTCCTCCACTTACCAACCCTAGGACCTGGGCAGCTTTCTTAACCCCCAAGCCTTTGCTGTCCCTACGTGGACAGTAGAGATGGACACTATGAGCACCTGCTGCAGAGTGGCTGTGCAGATGAATGAGGTACAACAGAGAGGGAGTTGGGCAGTCTGGCCCTTTGGTCGGGGAGGGGAGCTCACTGAAGTGCTGCCAGATCCTTGGGTCCATCACCCATTTGCCCAGGAGGCCTCAACAGCCTCGGCATTTATTAGGCACCTGATATGTACTTTCCTACATGGAAGACAAACAAACAAAGCCCATGGTTGTTGCTGCCTCGGGGGAATGTGTATCTGAATGGGGAGTCAGACAAGAGGGTGATCAGAATGGGTGGAAGATGCCCCTTGACACGGGCAGGTGTGAGCTGTGTTCTGGTCGTTGGAGGAAGTGAGACTGGGCTGGGAGCAAATGCCTCTTCCCATCCCCACAGTGTTGTGTCCTGGGTCATCCTGTGCTGGGTACCCTCAGTGGACAGAGGCAAAATCCAGGGACTCCCACAAGCCTCAGGTCACATCCTCAGCTTCCTGAGCTCCAGCTCTGACCACTTACCCTGCCTGGGACTGTGGGAGAACTCTGGACGCTGAGCTGGGGTGTGGTAGGGCCGGGAGACACTCCCCAATCTCCTCAGGAACCATTCAAGAAGGCAGTGCCCTGCCATTACCTGCACATCATCTGGTTCTGGCAGGATGTCAGGGAAAATGAGTACTTGGCGCCCACCATCCATGCCACCCTACACACTTCATCACTGTGGCCAACTGCATCATCACCACTGGCCTCAGGGACCCGAGCATGATGACCCAGGACACGGCCAGGGTGGTGGAGCTCTGGATGCAGATGGCCAAGGTAAGTCATGGGAGGCCAGGAAGGCCCTCTCCACCTCTTCTGCTTTCTCAACTCTCAGGATTGAGTCTGTGGTCTGAGCCCCTGCACAGTCCCTAGGTCCCTCCTGCCAAGGCCACACTGACCTTGACTCCTGGTCCCAGTGGTGGCAAGCTCACTTCCCTCCTGGGCTTCCTCCTTGGGTTGAGCTATCCCTGGGAGTGTTACTCATCAGGTCCCAGGTTTGCCCTCCCTGGGTTCCTTGGGCATCTGTCTCATTGAGGACAGGAGATGTCCACGAGGGGACAGAGGCCAGAGGAAGCAGGGCACTAGCTCCCCCTCACAGCTCACTCTCTTCCCTTCCCCAGGTGTGCTGAGTCCTAAGGAGTTTCTCCTCACTGCATGCCATCGTCTCTGCTCTGCAGAACCCCTCGATTCATGGTCTGAAGAAGACAGGTTTCCAGGTGGGCACTCCACTCTCTGAGCAGCACCAGGGTGGGCCAGACACCCTACATAGGGCTGGCATTGCCCCCTCAGTCAGCTGGGACCACCTGGGAGACAGTGAACCTGGAAGACAGGGACTAACCTGGTTGGCAGGTCTCTGAGTTTCTCTGGGACCTTAGGCCAGCAATTCTACTTCAGGAATTAGTTTCCTTAAATGTCAGATCCTGGCTTGAGCCAAATTGGAGATTTTCATGTGTTTACTTTGCAGCAATAGAACTCTCTCCTGTTCTAAGGGGTCGGGGGGTGATGAGGTTCAAGGGAGGAGAGGCATGTGCAGGAGATTTGCGCTGGCTCCTTCTCAAGAGGTGAAGGGAGAGCAATGATGACAGTCAGACGACACTGAGCCCTCAGGAGACCCTGGGAGGCAGGCAGAGTTCTTACACTTTCCAGATGAGGAAAGAGGCCCAGGGAGGCCTGGGCAGCCCCAATGTCACACAGCAGTGTTGGAGCTGGGATTGATCTAGGTTCTGAGCACCCTGGAGATGGGAGCAGCAGAGGGCCCAGGTGACCCAAGTCAGATGTCCAGGGTCTGAGGTCAGGGGCCTGAGGGAACATGTGGAGGAGAGTATGACCTCACTGACCCTGTCCTTGACCCTGGCAGGAGGCAACCTCCATGATGATCACCCTGCAGATCGGCCCCCCAAGGAGCCCAGGAGAGGCAGCAGCAGCACGTGAGGGTACCTGTGGGGGAGGGGCCCAGGAGTCAGAGGAGAGGGGGCTCCCCCCCTCTAAGCTGCAGGTGTCCACCAGGAGAGAGGCCTTCCTCCGCCAGCCCAGCTCCTGGTGCCACAGAGCCTGAAAGGCCTGCATTTGAAGTGACCAGGAGGAGGTTTGGAAGGGCTGGGTGCAGGATGGATTTGGGGTGGGGAGGGGCAGGGACCATATACCCTGGGATTTGCCAAAAGCCAGCCCTGGGAGGTGAGCGGCATGGTGCCTCTGGAGGGGAGAGGAGGAGAGAATTGGGGGGAGGCTGCTAAAGGTCCTGCGGTGCTCTAAGTGGGAGCCTGGGGTGGCCAGGAGGCTTGAGTGAGGGATTTTAGAGGAGGGTCTTTGGGGTCCCCTGAGAGCAGAGGCTCATCACCACCCCCACCCCAATGGCACAGGGTGTTGCCCCCTTCCTTGGCACATAATTCAGTTACCTGCAGTTGCTGGAAAATGTGATGGAGGATTATCTGGAGATGAGTGAGCCTGGAGGTGGGGCCAGGAGATGAGGATCCTGAGGTTTGGGAGGAGAGAGCCCCACAGTGAGCCCTGAGCTCTCAGCACTTGGCAAACCTCCTCTCACGAAAGCCTCACAGCCACCCCTGGGAGCCGGGGCCTCAGGACCATCTTAGCAATGAATGAACTGAGGACCCACATAAGCTGCCATCCAGCTTCTCTGGGCTGGTGAAGCTCAGAGCTGCCTGACTGCAGAGCTGCAGGAGGTTGTGCCTGAGCTGGACTCAGTCTCTCCCTCAGGCCCCGCTCATGGAGTGAGTGAAGTCAGGCCCCTCCAAGTCAGGAAATACATCAGTGGCTGAGCTGTCCCTTCCTGCCTGAGGCCTCAGTCTCCCCATCCGTCATCAGAGAGGGTTGGGTTACAAGGTCTCTGGCCTCGGCTCCCCTGTCCCCCCTGCTGTGGAGCCCAGAGGCTGGTGCAGGTCCCAGTCCTATTTCCAGAAGTGCCTGCCCCCCAGCAGTAGTGCAACATGAGAAGAGGTGGGGATGGGGGCTCGTTATGGGCTAAGTGAGCTGTTTCTCATGGACTTTGGCTGTCTGCCTTCCAGAACAATGTGATCAACTTTCAGAAAAGGGATGAGGTAAGCAGCTGTCGCCTCACTGTGGGACAGTGGGGGTGTGAAAATCAGAGACCCTCTTGGACAAGACCCTCTCTGGCCCCATCCCTTGGGTCTTATATTTATTGGGAGAGTTAGATACACAGGGCTGGGGATCCCATCACATTGGCGGGTGGGGGAAGGGGCTGGATCAAGGACATTTTCCTGAGGAGGAACTATTTCAACCCAACGATGAGCACAGGCAAGTCCTGGATGGAATTGGGGGGAAGGAGGGTTCCCAAGTGGGCAAAGACCCCAGACTGGCTCCCTGCCCCTCTCCTCAATCCCTACAAGACCCCTGCAGGATCCCCTACCTGCAGGCCCTGTCTGCATCCTGTCCTTCCTGTGTCCCAGCAATTGAAAGTAATTGAAGACATCTCGCTACTCCAGGAGACTGAGCATCATTACAACCTTGAGCCCCAGGAGCAATTTGGGTCCTGGTTTCAGCCCACGGAGCCCCTTAGTGAGGATAAGAGGTGAGGTGGGGCAGGAGTTGGGTGAGGGCAGGGCAGACTCTGTCTGATGGCCAGCTCCAATGCCCGTGGCCATGGTTGTCTGGTCAGCCCCAGATCTTGTTTCATGGTGACCCCGGGGGCACCGGGACTCCAGCTGCTGGCAGGCTCTGAGACGGACACCTGAGGTGTGGCTTCTGGTAGTTCACAGGTCCACTCTGTCCTGTAGCTACAGCCTTGTCCTGCCAGCTGGAGCCCCCATTCCAGTGGGCCAGCAAGATTTGACTGTTCTTCAAGGCCAAGAAGAACCCTCCATTTCAAGCTCAGGGTTGAGTATCCAGATCAGCTGTGACTGAATCTAGGGGCTCAGTAAAGCTTTGGGCTAAGCATAGGCCTGGGGAGTTGGACAGCTGGTGCTGGGATCCCAACTCCACTACTGAGCAGTCCTGCGATGGACAATTCCCCCCACCTTTCTGGGACTTGATTTCCTCCTCTGGGAAATGGGTGAGGCTAAGTGCCAGCTCCCACATCAGGGACAAATGGGGTACTGTTGACTGAGCACTCAGCACAGGGTTTGGAGCACAGTGCAGAGAGGGCAGGGAGGTGGGTCATGATAATCAATAATCAGTCTCTTCTACTCAGTCACCAGGCCCTCAGCACAGAGCATGGACAAGAGGCAGACAACACTCCTGAGACCAGATCAAGTGGAGCCTCTTCCTCAGTAGTGGGGACACAGCTGAGACACTCAGGGTGCACTGGGCCAGCTTCCACCCTGATGGGAAGGAGAACATGGTAAGCCTTCTCCTTGGATCCCTGAAGCCTGAGAGAGAGAGGACGACCTGCCCCAACTCCCTGACATCTGCACCCCAGCACCTATTTACTCACTGGGGAGGGGCAATACTTACTTGTTGTTAGTAGTAAATATTAGATTTGAATATTATATTAAAATCCCGTTTCTTTGATAGCCTGGGAGTCACGGTATGGTTCTTTCACTTCCTCAGCTCATGTAAATGAGACACAGAATCTCACATTCCTCCTCGAATTAAGGAGTCTCGCGGGGTCACAGCTTACTTTACAAGGGGGAAGTGAAAAGAGCCAGCCCCCTTCCCTGGCTGCTGAAGGACACCCCCAAGTCCCCTTTCCTCAGAGGACAGGGTCATTTCAGTGTGGTTCACCTGGGCCAGGAGCAGACACAGCCTCTCAGAACTCCTGGGACTTTCACAGACACAGAGACAACCACTGAAATGTGGGTGTCTTTCAGATGGCACTTGCCAGGACCATATCCTGCTAAGGGACAGTGGCTGCCTTTCTACAGCTTTCGAGGAAGAAGGAATGTTTTCTGCTTCTCCTGCTGCAGTTTCTTTTGACCAAATATTAGGAACTTTTAGTTTTCTATTTCAGTCTCTGGATTACAGCAGCACTAAGTGGGGAAAACAATGTAAAAACTCAAAATGTGCATGCGGAGAGGACAAGGTCAGCGGAAGGTCATTTACAGATGGACAAGGGCAAGCAGGACTTTCTCTCCTCAGGCCTCCTCTTGGGACTCCATGGTCACTGTTTCCCTAGATGGGACTCCTCCTGGGATCTTGGTCTATGACCTCAGAATTTCTTTTCCTGCTGGTTTCACATCCAAGGGAAAGATCTGCGATGCAGCTTTTAAGGCTACATCTGGGCTTCATTCCATAAACATCATTCTCCCTGTGAACTAGGATTTTCAGCACCTCTGCACTTCCTTATACAATTCTTTTTAGGGCAGAAATTACCTAGGAGGCCCCCAGCCTCTCTGTTAGGTACATTGTGGCTGCTTCTCCCTGGCTGAGCCTCATAGATCATGGGTGAGCTCTAGTTTGCCAGAATAAGGGACCATAATCCTGGCAACTGAATGACCCACACTCTCCCTTACTGTCCAGGGTGATATCTGGGCCCCTGTGGTTCTGAGGTCCATGGTCTCGAACAATAACCAGTTTACACACTCAGTCATGTGGTTACTGATTCATTCTAAAGGGTAGCTGGGCCCAAGCGCACAGAATGTAGCCCCTGGGAGAGCCGTGTTCTTTTCCCTAGTCTTGTGCTGTGGTTTTGTCAGGGGGGCTGTGAACCTTTGCTGTTGGGACCTTTGAAAGAGGAGGCATAAGAGGAATGTGGGTGAGGGGTCTAGCAGGGAATGCCATCAAACTGATGATTCAGAGACATGCGTGGACACAGCCTGACCAATTAAAATCCTGAAATGCTTCCCATCAGGTATTAAACAGACGCTGCTCTGAGCTCACCCTGAGAACCCACCCCATGACCAGGAGATAAAGGTTACCACTTGGCATTTTGAACACCATCCCCTGAAAATATCCTGTAAGACAAGGGCCAGGTGAATTTCTTGGCACTTCTGAGTTATCCCCTCCTTCCCAGTGGCTACAAGTGTCACCCAGACACACGACAGGCTGGATTCTGTCAAGGAGGCCATTTCAGGACAGCCAGAAGCTGGGGATAAATCCTGGTTCCCGGCAGGGCACTTCCTGGTGCAGCACAGCCATCAAGGAAAGTGATTTGTTGAAGCAAAGTAGGGAGGGCTGCACTTCCCCTCCAAAGAGAAAGAGAAGTGCGAGGTCCCAGGGCTGGTTCAGGGCCAGGAGGAAGGCACTATGTCCAAGGGGTTTCTCTCACAGAGCTATGAGGCTCCTGAGAGCTGACTCGATATGTACCAATATTTAATAAGTCTTGAGCCTACTATATGGCAGAGGTAACAATTTATTGTACATTTGGGCTTCCAAGGGCCAAAAATGAACTGATACTCAACAAAAAGAGGCCCACATTTGCAGCAAGAACTATTTCATCACTTTCTTTTTTTTCACTTTGACATAAATTTAACATATATATATGCACACACACACACAAATACATCATGCACTCACACTTATTCAAAACAGAATTAAAAAAATACTCATAAGCATCAAACCCATGTTTTTGCAGCTGATCCCCTTTTCATAGCTAGTATTTTTAACTACCTTCTTCCGTTACCCATTTCATATCCCCTTTGACCTCAGCAAGCACCTGGGCTGGTCATGGTTCTCTGCCTATTTGGGGGACCACAGCCTACATTCCTGAAGGGTTTGGGACATAGGTGGTCCTGCCTGGGTTGGTTTCTTGTAGTTTTCCATTGACTTTAGTCACAGGGCATGGAGATATAAAAAATGCTCTAAGGAATCTCCTGAATTCCAGGTATAGGCTTCCTAACCTCCATTGCTGAGTAGCAGAGGGAAGTCTAAGGCCCAGAGGAATACCAAGAGTATAGGCAATGTCTGCATTGGATGTAAAGATGAAGAAGACTCAGAGGAAAAGCCTGAGGGAAAAGCAAGGCAGTCTTTTTTTCATCTTCTCTGCACTGAATCCACCTAGACAGTCACAGCAGAGGCTCCCCAAAAAGCAGGCCAAAGCACCCAGGCATGAGGCAGGCTGGGCTGTCCTGCCAAGGGTGTGGGGAATAGACACATTATCTCTACACAGCTTGCAGACCACCAATGCTGAAGACAGCCAAGGGCTAAGAATTAAAATCACCTATTCCATTGCTCCCATTTTTTTGGTGTGAGCTTTGCCTCCTCAGTCTGAAGCAGGCACTCTCCAAGAATGCCCTCTCCAAAGGTTATAATAATGATAATAACAGCTATTCTAGTTGATTACTTAATATCTGCTAAGCAACATGACTGGCAAGCTCTACATGCATTACCTCAGTGATACTCACCATCCTTGAGGGCTTTATTCCCATTTTATAGCTAAATATATGGAGGATCAGACATATTAAATGACTTGACAAGAACGGGAAAAAAATACTTGGAACCAAAATTAAATATCTTGCCAAACTACGTGTCAAAGAAAGAGGTAAAGACATTTTCCGATATACAGGCAGACTCTAAGCTGACCTCCCACAGGCCTTCAGTGAAAAAAACAATGAGGAATGTACACCAAAAAGAAGAAATGCAAACCCAGGAAAAAATAAGAGTTATGAGGGAAAGAAAAAAATTAGTGTATCTAAATTATATTAGCTTTAAAACAAGACATTAAAACACATTCTAACTAAAATTCCAGATGACTGCCACATGGGAAAAGACAGGAGAGAAGATTCAATTTAAAAATAAGTCATTTTGAGGGAAAATATAACTACTACAGATACTATATTATTTTTTAACACATCACTCCCAGAAACTGGTAAATCTTTCAGACAAAGGTAAGTAATTAGGAAGAGGATTTTAATAATACCTCAAGCCATCATTCAAATAGACAATGAAATCCCAAGAAGCAGTGGCTTATTGTCACATTACTGATGCTGAAAATGTCTCTTTTGAGATATAGATGATAGATAGATAGATAGATAGATAGATAAAGATAGACTAGATAGATAGATATAAATACATCTATATGTATAATAGAATATTATTCAGCCTTTAAAAAGAAGGAATTTCTCCCATTTGTGACAACATGAAGGGGCCTAGAGAACATTATGCTAAGTGAAATATAACAGACAAATACATATGATCTCTTATATGTGGAATCAAAAATAGTCAGGGGGGGCTGGCCCCGTGGCTGAGTGGTTAAGTTCGTGCGCTCCGCTGCAGGTGGCCCAGTGTTTCTTTGGTTCGAATCCTGGGCGTGGACATGGCACTGCTCATCAAACCACGCTGAGGTAGCGTCCCACATGCCACAACTAGAAGGACCCACAACGAAGAATATACAACTATGTACCAGGGGGCTTTGGGGAGAAAAAGGAAAAAAAATAAAATAAAATCTTTAAAAATTAAAAAAAAATAGTCAGGGGCCGGCCCCGTGGCTGAGTGGTTAAGTTCGCCCATTCTGCTGCGGCAGCCCAGGGTTCGGATCCTGGGCACGGACATGGCACTGCTCGTCAGGTCACGTTAAGGCGGCGTCCCACATGCCACAACTAGAAAGACCCACAACTAAGATATACAACTATGTACGGTGGGGGGCGGTTGGGGAGATAAAGCAGAAAAAAAAAAATAGTCAAACTCATAGAAGCAGAGATTGGACTGGTAGTTGCCAGGGGCTGGGGGATGGAGAAATGAGGAGCTGATGGTCAAAGAGTACAAAGTTTCAGTTATGCAAGAAAAATAAGTTCTGGAGATCGATATACAGCATAGTGCCTATAGCTAACAAGACTGTATTATGTAGTTAACATTTGCTAATAGAGTAGATATTATGTTAAGAGTTCTTACCACAGAACAATGATAGTAATAAACAGGGTGGGAGAAAACTTCAGGAGGTGATGGATGTGTTTCTGGCCGTGATGGTCTCATGGGTATATACTTATGTCCAAATTCATCCAGTTGTACATGGAAATGTATGACATCATTGTTGATTCCTCTGCAACTTAACACACACCATATCCTCATCACACGCATACAGAAAAATGTGTAACTATGTTTGGGGACAGATGTTAACTAGACTTGTTGTGGTGACCACTTCACAATAAACACAAATATTGAATCATTATGTTATGCACTTGAAACTAACATAATGTTATATATCAATCATACCTCTATAAAAAAAACCCACAAGATATAAGACCATTTGAATATTGTAAACAAGTTCAGTGAATCCCTGAAACCACCCCATTCCCATATGAGAGTTACAAGAAACAAAGAGGATGAGGTAAAATGGAAGGAAGTTGTACAAAGCTGTATTCAAATTAAAATCATTTAAGTTGCTTTCAGCTGCTGTCACTGCAATCCAGGCCCAGCATGGAAAGTCCCTGGTAAAAGAACTTCCCCCCTAGCTTTTCCCCAAGGCCTAGCAGTCATGAGCCCTTCCCCCACCAGGTTATTCTGCTCCATCCTCCAAGGAGGCTGGCAGGAAACTCTGGTAAGATTCTGAATGACAGCTGCTTTCCATCCTAGATAGTCATCTTTTAACAGAAACTCATGGTGAAAGGTCTTCAAGATTTAAAAGAATAAGTTTCTAATTGTGAAATTTAGGATATAAGGAAAGCCACAGAAGGTCTTTTCAGCATCTCAGAACTCATAATGCAAAAATAGCCCTGTCTTCAAAAGGCCAGCCCTTGGCCTTTTGTGCAGAGTACGGTAAGGCCCAGACGGTATGAAGCACAGGTTGTATGCAGCACTATCCTCACTCCAACAGAACTATCTCACTGGACATGCCCCAGCGGGTCTTTTAAAATAAGCTACAGAACACAAAGAAAGAAAATCTTTGTTGAAAGGGAAAATTTTACAGGTCACATCAGAGGAAAACCTTCTAGAATTTTCATAGCTTATAACAAACAGTCTGACCTGTTTCATCCTTATGGGTACATCAAGAGGATTTCCATAATAAATACTTTTCATTTTCAGCTCAAAAACACCTAGCTGCTTTAAAAAACTCCAAAACAAAAACAAAATCCCAGAAACATGAATTTTTTTTTTAAGATGATAAAGTAATAACACACTAGTGGCTTCTAAACAAAAGAATAATTTTTGGTAAGGAATGTAGAGGATGGCACTATCACTGTGAAATGATGGAACGGATCCAGAACAATCCAGATGGTGATTAATGATGAAGAAGTTTCATCAAATGCCGGGAATAGTCACTTCGAAATCAAATTCTCATCATCATCCTTGGAAGCATTTCCGGAACTTTCCTTTTGACACAAGTTTTTGGCTTGAAAAATACCAGACATAATATCAAACAAAACAGAACCAACAGCAGAGGGAGGTCAATCCTGCTTTGTCAGGCACCGAAAGGGAATTAGTGCCTGTTGGCCACATCTCTAGGAGCTCCACTGGATGAGGGCTTTCACCAAGACCATACGCGTCCACTCAACAAGGGGATTCCTCGGGCATGTTCTCCTTACTCCCCTTACCCCATCAAAACCAAAACAAGATAACCCAGAGAGAGAGACAGAGAAGACATGTTAAAGCTTGAGTTCCTTACTTAAAGCATGCAAAGCATCTAACTGTCAGTTCAAACAAGGGAAAAACAAATCTACTAGGTTCCTGGCAGAAACACTGCTGTTTGATGAGAACACACCATATGCCTCATAATCTCAGCACAGGTATAACTGCTGTTGCATGTCCCAGAGAATCAACTTTCCCATGTGAGGTAAACATGCATTTGTTTTTATAAAATAAAGATTATACTCTATACTTTTATATCTCACTTTTCAAAGATCCAATGTGATTATAATCATTTTACAATTATTTGAAACAATTTCAAAGGTTACATCATATTAAATCAAAAGAACACGTCTTAACTTATTTCACAGTGGCCTAAAGGAAAAGTCAAGTTCTATTCAAGATAAGAGGCGGAGAAAATGCTTACTCCAGTAGTAGTTTAAAAGGGGATCTCTGCAGAATTGACATTTTAAACTGAAACTGAGTATAGGGTGGGAATACAAGTCTGGATTCTGGTGTGGAAATGAGGGATGACAGTGGCGCTCAGTGTACTGACAACAGCACTGCTTGGTTTTGTTTATGTGATCTGAGAGCTTGTGTTAAACGTTACTCCCTGGATAGCGACTGGAGCTATCATATGAGACCGGAGACTAAGAGGAGAAGGAGTATTTAGTTGGTGAGTGGGGAGTTAATGGCTTCAGTAGAGACAAGTTTTATTTAGGGGCCTAAAACATACACGTGCAGGGATTATATATCAGAAATGAAATCTGGACGTGGTTTTAGACATTGTCATCATTGAGATAACAATAGAAGAAATTGAAACAATGGAGGAAATGCATAAGAGTTCCAAGACAGTATAAAGTAATCAGAGAAAACAAAGCTAGAATTGAGTCCTGAGTTGTCCCAATAGTGTTGTGTGAAAAGGACCTGGGAAAAACACCAGGGGGGTGTGGTCATATTTACAAGCAATCAGGAGCCTGAGATGTCAAGAAGCCTAGGACAAGTAATCACCCAAAAAGGAGATCATGTTCCAATTCTGCTTTTGTTCCAAGATAAAAACACAGAAACACTCCTTGGACTTAATGATGGGCAGATAACTGTGATCTTATCAAGATTTATTTACATACAGATCGTTGGCGATCTTAGTAAGTCTGAGGAGTCAGGGAATGAGAAGACTGTAATTCCATGAGTACTGATCGTTCAGGTTCATTGTGAAGGGGAAGGAAGTCATGGGGCAAGAACAAGAGAGAAATTGGCTCAGGAGAGGTTTTTGTTTTAGTAATGAAGAGACAGAATGAGTTAAAGGGGTTTGATGGAGGAGGGGTGGGGTGGTTACTAGTAAAGAACATGACGTTTATAATCAATAATAAAATTTCTCTAGAAAGCAGGAAAGGAAGGGATACAACTGGACTAAACCAAGGATCAAGATAACTTTTCAATTGAATCAGGAGACGAGTCACTAATGGTAAGAATGCAGGGATATTTGTAGACTTCATGGCAGTGAGCTGAAGTATTACTTCAAATCATCAAATTCATCAGTGCAGCAGAAGATGATCCCATTTGTGGAAACTGAGAGGACAGGTGAGGAATTTTTATATTTGAAAGGCTTGGTGAAAGTCTGAAATATTTATGAAGCGTGGAAAGATTAATTAAGTACCAAAGCATAGAAGGACACTTGATAATTTGGAAAGCCACTGGGAGATTGGTGACTCTGTAATTAGACCTGGTCAGTGTCTGTGACATGCCATGTCCTGTGACAGATGCAGGCATGGAAAGGGCAATACAGTATTTGGAGTCATCTGGGACTGAGGTCTTGATCACCAGATGTGGTGAAAGGTTGGAGGGATGGATAATGTTTGCTCCTGGTGTGTATATGTTGAAATGAGAACATGCAGGTGAAACATCTGCAAAACTGAAGAGAGGAGGGGCTGACGTTTGGGAATTGGGGTCAATGCACTGAAAGTTCCTCTGAATTAGGAGAAACTTAACACAGGGAGTAATTGTGTGAACTTGCTGAAAGGAGAAGGGGCATGCTAAGAGATAAGAGTCTCAGATCATTCATCTGAGGGGCCATCCAGGTAAAACTTCGGTCTGGGATATATCCCCCAAGACAAGCAAGTTTAGGAATTTGAGATTCAGAGACAACAGAGCTAAATTTACATTCTCGTTCTGTCATTTTCTAGCATGGAATTTTGTTGTATTACTAAAGTCTCTGAACACAGTTCGCTTCACTTGTTAAGCAGACAACAAGTCCATAAACATCAGGGAAATAGGATTATATAAGCCAGTATATGTATTTCCCACCCACAGGGTTTCAATTCATACTACCAGAAATGGTTTCTCTTTTCAGGAACTCAGGATCAAAGGGTTGTAATCCACCTCCGTTCCTGACACATTGCATTATTTGTCCAGACTGTACACTGAATTATTAACATTGATTTAGGTAATACTTTGGAGGCGACAAATGCTTTCATATACATAAATTGTGAAATGATCCTGCTGATGATAATTATTAAGACAGAATTCCAGATACCATTTCACTAAGATATCTGAAGAAGTCAACTCGATTTCTCCCCAAATTAAACTCCTGCACTCAGCATTTGCTGAGCCTATCTGTTGTGTGGGGATTGTGGGACACGACAGCAGACTTATAACACGTGTACTCCTGCTCCCTGCCTGTGCAAGGGGTTTTTAGTGCCTGACATGCATGATGAGAGTCATTGAACAAGACCAATAAGATGTGAGTCCTTGGATTGTCCCGTCCACCATTAAAGAGATTCCAAAGTAGCCTGCCACATGTACAAGGTCACGTGGGGCAGAGTCAGGGTCAATGTCCTGATGTTGCCTGAATCCCACCTGCAGAGGAGACCAAATGTTTGAGGACAAGTGTGTCCAGAGAGTGGGGGGCAGGGTACAGCAGGGAGGGTGGAAGCTCTAAAGGGCTGGGATTGGTATTAGAGAAGTAATGTGTGTGCACCTAACCAAGAATTAATAACTCAGAAATTCCAGAGTGGTGTCCTTGCTGTGGAGACAAGAATCCTCAGGTGATAGTTACGAGGGTTTCCTAGGAGTTGGTATTAATCCAAGGAATTAAATATTAATTAAATAATAACTCTAAATAGAAGGTGTAATTAAAGTATAAAACCCCACGATTTTTATTTTGTTATCTACAAAATGGGACTATTACTATCTTCCTTATGATCAGCAGTATCCAAGCCTTAGTACCTTCAGCCCTGGGAGAGGAGAGGGCTCCCTCGTTTGTCTTAGGTCCCCCTGCAAGTACACAGGTTGGGCAGGGTCGCTGGCAGGTGTGTGTCTGGGGATTCAAGACTGGTGTCTCCAGCAATATTTTAAAAGACTGGATTCTCATAGCTTTTCTCTCTTTCCTCAGTTTTATCTGCTTAGTGTTCAGACTGTCCCTCAATGAGAACACAGAGGAAGACAGGTGGTGGCTGAGTTCCTGACAATGACACGCAAGTGAGTAGGGGATTGTTCTTACTACCGAATTGATAGTCTTTGCCAGTCGGGCAGGTTTCTCCTCTTGGCTCGGATCCTCTAAGTGCACCCAGGAAATATCAGTTCCAGTTACATTTCACCAAGACCCCGTCAGGCATAGGGCAGACTAGGGATTAATCAAGAAATTACCTCCTTCCTTACATTTCCACTAACTGATTCATTTATCCTGTTCTCCATTAAGGATGTTCTTGCAGAGAAGAAATGTAAAAGACTGTGATTTTCTCATCCGCCCCTTGGCCTCCGTGGGGAAAGGCTTCCACTCTCTAACTGAGCAATGGGCTCGGGCCTCCAGTGAACGCGAGGATAGAGACGAGTGCAAACAGCCGTGCACAGGACAGCCGGAGGCAGGTATCTCATCAGGTGAGTTCAAGCAACCCATGGTGACAGATGCCAAAGTGGAGGCTGCGCAGCGTCAGGTAGGAGAAGAGAGAGGGTTGGGCCAGAGGGAGCAATGAGGAGTCATTTCTTTGTCTACTTTTAAACATACTAAAGTTTTCATGGAATGCACTTGAACATTTTGATACATTCCAAAAAAGATAAAATTCTCTTAGCAATCCCTTCCCAAATTTGTTCAAACCACTGTTTCCCTCTGTCTTATTAAACCTTGTTCACATTTGAAAACTGGACGCAATGTCTGGAGAGTATTGTTTCCTTAATTTTGACTGAGTACTGAGGAGGAGGAATGTAGCAGACAGAATAAAATGTCAGGTACTGGTCAGCAAAATGGCAGACTAGGAAGCTCCAAGCTCTCACACCCCCACAGTCACATCAAGAAACCCCCAGAATCTGAATGACCCAGGCAACAGGCCAGAGGAACCAGGAGGCAGGAGAGATGATCTGTTGAGACGTTTTCTCCTCCCCTCACGGCTGGGCCCGGTGAGGAGCAGTTGACCCAGGGCGAGGGGGGCGGGAGAGGCGGGGGTATGCTGTGTCCTTGTGGGTTTTGGTCACTCTTTCTCCCCTTTCTGCAGTAACGCCCATGGACTTTAGGCACCTCACTCTTTCTTGAGAAGCGGTGATGAGCTGACCCAAAGGGCCCGAGACCCAGCTGCATACTATTGACTCGGGATTGTACCTTGGGTTCCGGGTCTAAGGGCCGTTTCTTCCTTTGGCCCAGAGGAGAGCTGGGAAGACCATTTCATTCAACGGGTCAGCCGTCCCGGTCCATGGAGAGGTCTGCTTTGCCATAGGTCGGGGCGGCAGCCAGTGTTCTGGACCACCGAGGCGTGAATTGCCACGGCCTCCCAGCGCGCTCAGTGACTCTGAGGATGGCGTGAGCCCCTCCCGGAGGCATTTTCTTTACGGCTTCTGGGCTTTGTTTTATGCTTTAGAAAGACCTTCTCCGCTCTGAAATCACAGAATTAAAATGATTCGTCCATGTTTCTACGAGTACCTTCACGGTTTCGGGTTTACAGTCCACGCCTGCCCGAGTCCTGCAGACTTTTCTACGTCCGCGGGGAGCCCGGTACCGCTCTGGGAGGCCCAGCAGGGCCCCCTGCCTGGGCGCGTCTCCAGGACATTCCCGCGTCCTCTCCAGAGTCCGGAGCCTGTCCGCTCCCAGCAGCCGTCCCTGGAGGGGAACAGTGGTTCAAGGGACATCCTGAGAACATTTCCAAGTCCCCTTTCTGCTGCTGGGGTCGCGCCGCGCCGGCCAAGAGCCCCGAGGGGGACGCCCTGCGTTTGCCCCGGGACGAGAGACGGCGCTCCGAGGTCGGGCGTTTGGACGGGCGGCCGGCGGCGTGTCCACAACAGCAGGCAACCCCGGTCCGTCCCGGAGACGTTCGCACCAGTTGTCAGGCGCCACCTGGCGGAAACTTTTACGTAGTTTTTCTCCGGAGCCCCCGGAAACCAACAAGCGCTTGGCGGCTGTGATGGAGGCGAAGTCCTAGGAAGCTAGCGGCGCTGGCAGGATCGTCCCGCCAGTGCCAGGGCGTCGGCGCGTCACCCAGTCGCCGGAGATGGACGTGCAGGTGCACGGCGGGGTGTGGAGCCACCCACGGGGGTCGACCAGGACACGCTGATGCCCCTCTGCCAGCGCGTCCCACTGCCGCGAGATTGCAGGGCTGGATGCCACTGTGCCAGTGCAATAAGAGGTCCTGGGCAGCTGAGGGTGACAGGGACTGTAATGTCCAGGAGTCGGAGGGCAGATGATGTTTGGAGGGAGCCTGCTCCCGTCTGCGGCAAGAGGAGGGACAGGTGACTGGCGGGGATGGAGAGGGGAAGGTGGCAAAGGCACCCAGTATTCTCAGGGCTGGACCCCACTTACCTTCTGGTGGCAGAGAAGACTGGCCACATTCAGGTTGGTACGGCTGTTGTCAGTGGGGCCCTCGGCTGGGCGTCCCAAGAACATCCCAGGCCCAAGGCCTCCTGGCTACCTCCAGCCCTAGGCCCTTGGCGCAGCCAGCGCCCCTCCTTCACCCCAACTTAACTGGCCCACCTGGCTCCAGTGAAGCCCTGCAGTGGTCCTCCGTACTCCAGCTCCAGTCTACCCACCCAGACCTGGACCCTCCACCCATACTGCACCCCCAGCATGAAAAAGAAGAGAACTGTTCTGGTGGAGGCAGCACCTGGGCTGGGCCAAGAAGTGAGAGTGCTGCCCTGAGGCTGGCCTTGGGGGAGGGGGATGAGCCAGGAACTGGCAGCAACTGTCTCCTAGGATGTTGTCTGCTCCCCTTGCTGCCAGGCCCTGGTGGGAAGACCTACAGGCCCCTAGGATGAGTGAGTGTGAGTGTGTGTGCGTGCGCGCACGTGCGTGTGCGCATCCGTTTTTTCCCATCCACCTGGCCTGCTTCCTAAAGCAGTGGCCAAGAGCAGGTCCAAGGGACCTGAAGCCCCATGGATCTTGTTTCCTTGGGACTAGAGTGTACGTGGACTCTGTGTGATGGGGTCAGGTGTTAAAGGACTTTCATCCCCCAGTTTGGACTACAAAAGATCTTTGTAAAGATGCTAGTTACACAAAAGAATTAAGATAGTGTTTTTTCTTTGAAACTCCGTTTTCACAAATCTGTGCTGCATGTAGTACACACTCTAAAGACGCAGTCTAAAAGATGCTTCTAAGAGTACCAGTTACACAAATGAGGACAGTGTTATTTCTGTGAAACTCTGTGTTCATCATTTTCTGCTACATGTTATACACTCTAAAGACAAATGCATAAGAGTCATTTCCAAGGCAATGGCTGAGTCCATGAATCTTATTCCTGTGAAACACTGTGTCCAGTACCCTGTGCTGCACATTACATTATAGCTCCCTAGAGACACATCTAGGAAAGATGTTTCTAAAACAGTTCTAGTCACCTGAAAGAACAAGGATAGTGTTCTTTCAGTGAAATACTGTGTTCACATTAGACTGTGCTGCACATTATACACTCTAAAGACACACATAAAAGCTTCTGAAGAGCTGCTTGCATGAAAGAATCAGGATAGTGTTTTTTCATTGAAAGACTGTGTTCGTTCTCTGTGAAAGACTGTGCTGCATGATCTAAGCTCTGTAAAGAAATGTGTAAAAGATGGATCTAAAAATTCTAGTTGCATGAAGGAATCAGGAAAGTGTTACTTCAGTGGAACACTGTATTTACGTCTATGGGGTGCGTATTGTGTACTCTCTAAAGACACATGTAAAAAACATGTTAGAAGACTGCTAGGTGCACAAATAAATGCAGATAGTGTTATTTCAGTCAAATACTACTGTGTTCACCAGTCTCTTCTGCATGTTATACACTCTCCCAACTCCTGGCCTGAGCCTGAGCCTGAATTCAAATCCAACAACAAACAAGAACATGAACACGAATGAACATATACCCAAACCAGACCCAACCCCAGCACTGTACCCTGACCGCATCCCTGCTCCTAATACTTATTCCAACCCTAACATCTATCCCAAACCATAACACTAAATCTAACTTTATCCTTATCTGACCCTGACCCTGATCCTCTAACTTTAATTCTCATCTTGACCCTAACCCTCAAAATTTGACCTTGATTTTAACCTTGATATTGTCCTTGAAAGTGAGTACCGCCTTTTACCTTGGTACTTTCAGTCCCTTATCCTGTCCCTATTATCTGACCTTTTTTATCACTGACTGAAAATTTGACCACGACCTTGACCTCATATGTCTATGGAGGTCTTTTAGACCATGAACTTTATCTTGATCTCGAACTTGAATTTAGCTTTTACCTTGACCCTGATAATCAAAATACTGCCACTGACTTTCTTAATGAGAATTTGTCCTAAACTTGGTACTTTGATCTTGACCTTGAAGGTGACCTTGACCTTTTTCAGATGCATATTATGTATGGGACTTTCTGATCTATCCCTCACTGATAATTTGATCTTGATTTTTACCTTGAAGTTGACACTGATCATTTTTAGTCTCTGTTCTGTCCTTTTGGTTTTTGTTTTTCTATTACAAACCAGTCATTTGAAACTTGACAGGATCTTGACATTTCCTTTGACATCAGTTTGTCCATATCCTTTGTCCTTGAACTTGATCTTGACACTGATTCACAATATTCCACCTTTGATTATCCTATCAATGTCTATCACTGAAATCAAATTTGAACCTGACTTGACCTTTACTATGACCTTGAATTTACCTGAAGTTGACCATTACCTCACTTTTAATTTGAGCTTGAACCTATTACCCTACATCCTGTCCTTGTCTACCATCCTGACATTTTCTATCATTGACAGATAATTTGACCTTAATCGACCCTGGTTTGACTTTGCACATGACCTTTATGTTGACCTTAACTATGAACAAATCCTATCTTTGTCTATCATTCTGTTCATTTTATCTCTGAGAATTTGAACTTAATCATGATTTTTAACTTTGTCTTAAACTTTGCTTTCACGTTGACCTTTCATTAGAACGTTTTCTACCCTTAAACTTTGATTCTATCATCGTGACCATCTTTATCACTGACTGATAATATAATTTTGACCTTGAACTTGATCTCACACTTGGTGTGACCAACCCCAAACCCTGACCTTTTTTTAGGACCACAGGAATATCACCCTGACCATTTCTTTCACTGATTGGGAATTTGACCTTGATCTTGGCATTGACATAATCTTGAACTTAACATAGACCCTTGTCTTCTGCTATGGTCTGTATGTTTTTGTCTCCTCATTGTAGTTTTGATTTGCATTTCCCCAATAATTAGTGATGTTGAACATCTTTTCATGTTTCTGTTGGCCATCTGGATGTCTTCTTTGGAAAATGTGTATTCAGATCCTCTGCCTCTTTTTTAATAGGGTTGTTTATTTTTTTGTTGATGAGTTGTATAGTTCTTTATATATCTTGGATATTAACCCCTTATCAGATATATGATTTGCAAATATCTTCTCCCATTCAGTAGGTTGTCTTGTTGTTTTATTAATGGTTTCCTTTGCTGTGAAGAAGCATTTTAGATTGATGTAGTTCCATTTGTTTATTTTCGCTTTCGTTTCCCTTGCCTGAGGAGACATCCAAAAAGATATCGCTAAGACCAAAATATGACCTTGATTTTGAATTTTACATGACACTCTACTTGACCATGGCCTGATTTTGACTGTTACCCTTTTCAAAACTATAATCTCTGTAAAAATATTATCCCCACCATCTCTAATGCTGACTGAGAATTTCACCTTGATCTTGCTGTTGACCTGAGTTTGAATTTGACATAATCTTGAATTTGATATAGACCCTTGTCTAACATACCCCATCTTCCTGACTTTCTCGCTCTGTGACCAATAATTTGACCTTGATCTGACATTGACTGTAACCTGACCACAACCTTAACTTTGACCCTTTGCACCTATATCCTGTCCCTTAGAATTGTCTTGATCTTCTCCTACTGACAGATAATTTATACTTGACTTAAACATTAACTCTGTCCTTGCCCTTGCCCATGAACTTAATCTGAACCTGACCTTGACCTTGACTCTTTTCAGACCCATATCCTGTATCAGCTATCATCCTGACAATTTTTATTACTGATTGATTATTTATCTTGACCTGGACTTCACACTGCCTCTGTTTCAGACCAAATCCTGTCACTGACTATAATCAATGTTTATTTCTATCACTGACTGATAATTTGACCCTGACCTTGATCTTTTGCAGATCCATATACTGTCCTTGACTATCATCCTCACAATTTCTATCACTGCCTGAAATTTGACTTCTATCTTGAGTGTGGCCTAGAACAATACCTTGAATTTGACCTTGGGTTGACATTGGCATGATGCTTTTCAGACTCATACCCTGGATAAAGGACCGATGACACCCTCAGGTACCACAGACCCTAAGTAGCAGTGTGGTCAGGACATGTGCATAGGCAAGAGCCAGCACATAGGCCCACATGTGCAACTCAAGCAGGAGTGGTCTTGGGTGACAGATTGTAAAGCCCAGAACTATGAATGCATCTAAAGTCTGACATCTTTCAGAGGAACCAAAGATCAGTATGTCACCACCATTCTGGTGGCCCAATCTGGCCTGCCAGTTCAGAACACACACACTCCAGTCAGCATGGGCAATCTTACCCTCAGGCTGACTTCCTGAAACTGCAGTCTGGCAACAGGGACCCACAAGAACCCCATCATCATGAGAGACCCAGGACCCCACGGGCCATCTGATCTACTCTTCATATGGTGTAGTAGGAGGGCCTGGATCCCCATGTGTCCAAAAGGCCCAGGCGGGGAATGACCAGGCCTCCAGAAGAGGTCTTGAAAAATTTTTCAAGAAGCTCATCAGATGATCCAGCCCCACACATCCTACTCCTGGTTGCCTGGGACAGTCCTGCCCAGTGGAGGGTCCTCTGGATGCCAGTTAACCCTCGTACACCATCCCCAGATGTCACCTGGATAGTGGCAGTGGCCCCTTTCCCTATCTGCAAGTAAATCTATGGAGAATGCTTTCCTCAGCCACACTGGGCACAGCAGAATGAGACTGCCATCACTGCTGGCCTCCTGGAACTCTACCTCAGGTACCATAGCCAGATTAAATTCCATTCCGGGGATGCCCAGAGCTCTGGAGAAGCCCTGTAAAGGCAGCAGCCAGTCAACTCCCAACAGCCAACTTGACCAGGATCATGACTTATCCAGACCCCTGAGTTAGGCAGGAGCTCTGCGACTTACCAGTACCTGGCCTTGCGCTGTCCCTCTCGTATTTTTGTCCTAGGAAAGTTGAAGTGGCTGGCCTGGAATGGTCCCCTCCTTGAAAGGAGACTTAGAAAGAATTTCAGTATGTACATGTAGCAACCGTGCCCCATGTGGGCCCATGGCAGGGTTGGGGGTCCCAGACTTCTGGCCATCCCCACAAAGAGAGACTTAGAAGATTTTTCAGGAAGCATATCCAGTGACTGAGTCACATGAGGAGCCACAGCAGGGCCAAGCATTTGGAGAACTCACATTTCCTGATTTCAAAACTTATTACAAAGCTACACTAATCAAAATTGTGTGGTACTGGCATAAAGACAGACATATAGACCAATGGACTAGAATATAGAGCCCAGAGATAAACTCTCACATATATGGTCAAATAACTTTTTACAAGGGTGCCAAGACCATTCAATGGGGAAAGAATAGTCTTTTCAACAAATGGTTCTGGGAAAACTGGATCTCCACGAGCAAAAGAATGAAGTGGGCAGTGACATCAGCATCATAGTGGAGTGAGTGGTTCCCTTAGTCTCTCCCCACTAAGTTACAACTAACTAGACATTCATTAACCAATAGAGGATTCCCTATACAATACAATAGGATGTCTGAGAGATCCACACAGCCATACATCTAAAGGTGGGGGGACTAGATCCCCAGGAAGCAATGGAAAGAGGTGAGCAAATCCCTCCCCCTCCCCAGTAGCAGCCGTCTAGGTGACAGGTCCTCACACAGCAGCTGGTGCATGACTGTAAAAGGAAGTGGGGGGCAGCCAAGCCTGTGCATGAACACTTCCGCTTTCAGAGTTGCAGTCTGGCCACAGGAGCACCCATCATGCTTCAGCAGCCCTGCCCATGGGAACAGAATGCTCTCCACCGAGTGGTGTGGCTCAGGCCCCACAAAAGAGCCCCTAGTAAGCACAGCAACTCAAGTGAACTGTCCATGAGTGCAGAGCCAGCCTACGTGGGAAAGAAAGCACCCCTCTCCTCCCACCTAGTGCACCAGCTCAGTCAGTCCCCTGCCAAGGCAGTGGTCCCACACCAGAGCACCTGCACATGTGTGTGTAAGGTCACCAGCTGTGGCCAGCAGGCAAACAGACAAGCCCTACCAGCATGACTTCCAGCATACACAGCGGGTTCAGAAAACACAGCTCCGGCCCAGCCCCCACCTCCAGAGCTGGCAGGTGGAATCTGTAACCTGACGCTACTACAAAGGCCCCGGAAAAGGATCAGTTCATCAAACACTATGAAAAACTATACTAACTATACTAACACTTCAGAGCAAAAGGAAAATGACAAATTTCCAGAAACCAATCCTGAAGTCACAGAAAGTCAGAATCTAAATGACAGACAATTCAAAATAGTTATCATAAAAAAACTCAATGAGTTACAAGAAAACTCAGAAAGACAATTGAATGAACTCAGGAATAAAATTAATGATCAGAAGGAATTCTTCACAAAAGAGATTGAAATTCTAAACAACAACCAGACAGAAATTCTGGAGATGAAGAAAACAATGAATGAGACAAAAAAACAATCTAGAGACCTTTAAAAAACAAAGCCAATATCATGGAGGACAGAATGGGTAATTTAGAGGACAGAAATATAGAAATCCTCCAGGTGGAGGAGGAAAGAGAACTAAGATTTTTTTAAAATGAAGAAATTCTTCGGGAAATATCTTAATCAATTAGGAAACGCAACATAAGGATTAGGTATTCTAGAGGGAGAAGCAAGGGAGAAAAGAGCAGAGAACTTGTTCAAAGAAATAATAGCTGAGAACTTCCAAAACCTGGGGAAGGAATTGGACTTAGAAGTACATGAAACCAACAGAACTCCAACTTACATGAATGCAAAAAGACCTTCTCCAAGGCAAATGATAGTAAAACTGGCAAAAGTCAATGATGAAGAAAAAATATTAAGAGCAGCAAAGCAGAAGAAAATAACCTAAAAAGGAATGCCTATCAGGATTTCAGTGGATTTCTCAGCAGAAAACTTACAGGCTAGGAGAGAACAAGATGATAAGATTCAAAATACTGAAACGCAAAAACTATCAGCCAAGGATACTCTGTCCAGCGAAAATATCCTTCAGATATGATGGAGAAATAAAAACCTTCCCAGATAACCAAAAGCTGAAGGAGTTCATCACCAAAAGACCCCACTACAAGAGACAATCAAGAAGGCCCTCATACCTGAAACAAAAAGGAAAAGGTTTAGAAATCCTTGAGCAAGGAGATAAATAGACAAACAAAATCATAAAATTGCAGCTCTCTATCAGCAAAGATCAGCAAACAATTATAACATTAAAGATAAAGTGAAGGAAAAGTTTGGGGGTTTTTTTGAGGAAGATTAGCCCTGAGCTAACTGCTGCCAATCCTCCTCTTTATGCTGAGGAAGACTGGCCCTGAGCTAACATCCATGCCCATCTTCCTCTACTTTATATGTGGGACGCCTACCACAGCATGGCGTGCCAAGCAGTGCCATGTCTGCACCCAGGATCTGAACCGGTGAACCCTGGGCCGCTGAAGCAGAATGTGCGCACTTAACCACTGCACCACCAGGCCGGCCCCCAGGAAAAGTATTAAAAATAATTATAAACACTTCGTTTTAATCAAAAACTCACAACACAAAACAATAATTTGTGACAACAATAACTTAGGGAAGAGGAAAGAGATGGACCCTGACTAGGCTAATGGTGATAAGAGGCTATCATAAAATGGACTTTCTCATCTACAAGATCTATTATACAAACCTAACGGTAACCACTAAACAAAAAATCAGACGGGGCCAGCCTGGTGGTGCAGCGGTTAAGTTCGCACATTCCGCTTCTCAGCAGCCCGGGGTTCACCAGTTCAGATCCAGGGTGCAGACACAGCACCACTTGGCAAAAAGCCATGCTGTGGGAGGCGTTCCACGTACAAAGTAGAGGAAGATGGGCATGGATGTTAGCTCAGGGCCAGTCTTCCTCAGCAAAAAGAGGAGGATTGGCAGCAGTTAGCTCAGGGATAATCTTCCTTAAAAAAAAAAAAAAAACACGAGATACTACTTCACACCCATTAGGATGGCTCTATAAAGAACAGTAGAAAATAACAAGTGTTGACAA